GGAGGTCTAAGGAACAACCAGCTGACAAAAGGCCAGCTTATGTGCATAAAGAAGGCAGTAGCAGAGGGACAAACAGAACACACCAACAGCCAACTCATGCGTATGAAGAAGGTAGAAGCAAAGAGACAAACAGATCAACTCAACAGAGACAAACATGGAGAAATAAGAGCAGAGGTGAGGAGTGGTCAGGAATTGAATTCAAGGTCAAGGAAGAAGACTATGAATGGCTCCGTGGTTGCTATGTCGGTACAGCACGTTCAATAGAAATTATACCCAATCTGCAGGAAAAGCTGTACATGGAAGGTTATTTTTCACGTCGGCTCCGTCCTATGGGGGGGAAGCTGGTATTAATGGACTGTGAGGAGAAGGAAGAGCTAAGGGACTTAGTACAGGGGGCAGCAGATTGGCTAGGCCAATGGTTCATAGATATTCAACCTTGGACACCTACAGCAGTGGCAAAGGAAAGATTTGTATGGATGAGATGCCAAGGAGCCCCTCTTCATGCTTGGGGGTCGGAATTTTTTGAAAAAATGGCAATGACATGGGGTAAGTTCATATGCCTAGACGACAACACAAGCAAGAAATTAAGGTTTGACGTGGCTAGATTCCTAATATCCACTCAAATCATGAATGCAATATCTGTCATGTGGAGAATCAAAGTGAATGGAGTCATGTATGATATGAAATTCACGGAAGAGGAGCTGGTAAATAGCTTGTTTTCAACAAGGCACGATTTCAAGCCAAATTTCAGCACTGATTCAGAATATGAGGAATCATGGACAGACTGCAATGACTTGTAGCTCAACCATGAAGAAAACGACTGGGGTGTTGATCTGGAACAGCTCGCCGGTGATGGAGAAAAAGAAGGAGAAAACAAGGATTTCAGCCAAATTGACAAACGGTCGACTGCCAATTCGAGAAACGAGGTGGAATTTGAATTTGAAGAAGAAGGGGGTGATGTGAAAGGACGCAAGCTAGTGGATAGCTTCCCCTCTAGCCGGTTGGGTGAGGAACAATCAGTGGAAGTAGTAGCTGACAGTTTTGACAGGTCTGCGGAAGCTAGTGAATTAGGAGGTAGAGTTGAGGCTGGTTTATTTGAAAATAGTCCACAAAATGAGCTGTCTACAGACCCTATCGAGAGTTTAGCTGGCAATAACTTGGGCCTATAGCATAAGCCCAACTCAGAGGCCACATGCCAAGCCCGTGACAATGAACAACAAGTGGGAGGGCAGATATGGGCTAACTAGATGAATGATACAACCAAAAGTATGGAAAATGAGTCCAGAATTGAGCAAGAATCTGTTTCGCAGCGTGAGCAACAGCAGCAGAGGCAAGAGAAAAAATGGGAGTCACTGGGAAAAAATAGAGAGTTCTAGGTAGATTTGCAAAGTGAGGAAGAAAGTGAAAAAGGGTGGATGGCTGCAAGTAACAAAGATCGAAAAAAAAAGAAAAGAAAAAAGAAGATAGCAAAGTTGTGCAAAGCTGTGTATCAAAAAGTAAGTCTTCAACGAATTTTGATGCAGAGAGAGAAGAACAGATTTGCAGTAAAAGAGAAGAAAGCATGGCGAGAAGATATCCCAAAGTTTCAGCCGGGCATGAACAATGAAGTGGCAGGGGGTTCTGTGGGAGATAGTGGTATATAGAATCGAAATAGATTATTGAAGGAACACCCAAGTCGTAGAATTGCAGAGGAGCTGTGGGATTTTGCTAGGAAAATTGGGGTTGTTGCTGAAAATGAGGAACAAATCATCAACAAGCTTGATGAAATGGAGGTGCGTGATAGAAGAGCAAAGGAAGCGGATTGCTCAAAAGATCCGAAGAAGAAATAGAAGGTTAGTGAAACAAAATTATGAATATATTGTCTTTTAACATTAGAGGTTTGGGTGGTGTTGGTAAGAAGAGACAGTTAAGGGATTTAGTGAGTAAAGAAAAAATAGATTTTTTGGCTTTACAAGAAACGAAGGTGATAGGGATAGATAGAAAAACATGTAAAATGGTGTGGGGCACAGAAGACTTCGGTTGGGTTGCAAAGGATGCATGTGGGTTGTGTAGAGGCATACTCTGTGTATGGAATTCTAAATCTCTCACAATGTCTAGAGTAATAGAGGGTGAGAATTTTATAGGAATAGAAGGGGTATGGGGTCCTGAGGGGGTTGTTGTTTTCATTCTAAATGTGTACTCCCCAGGCCAGTTATCAACGAAGAGAGTTTTATGGGCAGAGCTAAAAAATTTGGTATTAGATAGACAAGGCTACTGGTGTATTGCAGGGGATTTTAATGCAATTAGGAATGAAGAGGAGAAAAAGGGAAGTAGAGGAGTTACTATTGAGATGAGAGAGTTTAATAACTTTATACAAGAAACGGAGTTGGTGGATGTTCCTCTTGTGGGTAGAAAATTCATCTGGTACCAGTATAATGGGAACAGTATGAGCAGAATAGACTGATTTCTACTATCGGAAGGGTGGTTGACAAAGTGGAGTGAAGCCAGACAGTGGGGCCTTAGTAGAACAGTGTCGGATCATTGTCCAATCCTGCTCAAACATAAGCATATTGACTAGGGGCCTAAGCCATTTAAGTTTTTCAATGCATGGTTTCAACAAGAAGGTTGCATGGAGTTGGTTAAAGAGGTGTGGGGGTCGGCAAACATTCAAGGATGGGCAGGGTTTCAACTTAAGGAAAAGCTGAAATTGACAAAGGAAGCTTTGAAAAGGTGGAGCAAAACACTTCTCCCAATTATTGATGCCAAAATAAACAAGGCTACTACAGAGATAGCACAAATTGATAAGAAGGGGGAAGAGGTACAGCTGTCGGAGGAAGAAATCATAAGAAGAAGAGAGGATTTCCTACTTTTATGGGAAAGCATGAAGAGCAAGGAAAGTATGCTACAGCAGAAATCTAGAAAGGCATGGTTGAACCTTGGCGACGCCAACACAAGTTTCTTTCACAAGTGCATCAAGGGGAGATGGAGAAGAAATGAAATGACTTCTATACAAATCAAAGGAACACAAATTGTGTGTGCCAGCAGAATGAAGGAGGAAATTGCTTCCTTTTTTGAAGACATATTCAAAGAAGAACAATGGGACAGACCAAAGTTAGAAGGGGTGAGCTTCAAGCAGATTTCATAGTTAGAAAATGACCATCTGGTTGGAGCTTTCAGTGAGGAAGAGATAGATGCAGCAGTGTGGGAGTGTGACAGTTCAAAGGCGCTTGGACCAGATGGATTCAATTTCGGCTTCGTCAAGAATGTGTGGGAGCTAATAAGGGTAGATGTAATCAGATTCTTGCATGAATTCCATAAAAATGGTAAGCTGGTTAGAGGACTTAACACATCTTTCATTGTCCTTGTGCCGAAAGTGGATAACCCACAGAAGATAGAGGAATATAGACCCATCTCCCTCATTGGCGTAATGTATAAAATCCTTGCAAAGCTTCTTGCTAACAGGTTAAAGGTGGTCCTTGATGGGATTGTTGGTGAACAACAGATGGCATTTATTAGAGGAAGGTAACTAATGGATGGAGTAGTGGTAGCAAATGAGGTGATTGATGATGTAAAGAAGAAGAGGAAGGAGACATTCTTATTCAAGATCGACTTTGAAAAGGCGTATGATAAGGTCAGTTGGGAATTCCTCGATTATATGATGCAACGGATCGGATTTTGTGTAATATGGAGGAACTGGATCATGGAATGTCTGAGAACAAACCTTGTATCAATTCTGGTTAATGGCAGCCCAACAAGGCAGTTTACTGTGACGAGAGGACTCAGGCAAGGGGACCCCTTATCACCCTTCCTATTTTTAATAATTGCAGTTGGTCTTAATGGATTGGTTTCAGCTGCATCTCAAAAAGGGTTATTGGACGGAGCAGAGGTGGAGAGCAGAGGTTTTAAAGTTTCTCACCTACAATACGCGGACGACATAATTCTCTTTCCTAGAGCTAAAGAGGAAAATGTGTGGGCAATGAAGGGCGTCTTGAGAGCTTTCGAACTAGTCTCGGGCCTAAAGATAAACTTCAACAAAAGTCATTTGATTGGCATACATGTGCAAGAGGGCTGGCTCAACAAAATGTCATGGGTGCTTTGCTGCAAAGTTGGGGTTTTTCCATTTAAATATCTGGGCATCCCCATTGGAGGAAGCAGTAGAAAGAAGGCCTTTTGGAAACCGCTAGTGGAATTATTTTCTAAAAAGCTATCTACATGGAAGGGTCAGTACTTATCTCTTGGTGGACAGATTACCCTTATTAATTCAGTGCTATCCAGTCTTCCTGTGTTCTGGATGTCGGTGTATCTCATCCCAAAAGGTACGATTCTTGCATTTGATAAAATTCGTAGAGGTTTTTTATGGGGTGGGGCTGCAGGAGAAAAGAAAATAAATTGGGTGAAGTGGGAACAGGTCTGCAAAGGTAAAAAACAGGGTGGTTTGGGGGTTAAGGATTTGAGAAAATTTAATATAGCACTATTAGGAAAATGGTGGGGGAGGATAGTCATAACAGATAAAGGGCTTTGGAAAAAGGTTATTGCAGAGAAGTATGGTCGGGTAGGGGAACCAAGCTTCAATTGGTTGAGGGAGAACATGAATTTTGGCTCATCTTGGTGGAGGGATTTAAGTAGATTGAATGATATTGACAAAGAGAAGAAAGGATGGTTAGTGGATGGGCTGGAATTAAAACTAGGGGAAGGGGTAGACATTAGTTTTTGGTGGGACAAGTGGAGTGGGGATGTGTGTTTAGCTAACAAATATCCTAGACTTTACTTGTTATCTACAGGAAAGGACTATATGATCTCACAAATGGGAGGTTGGCACAATGACATTTGGAAGTGGAGTCTATAATGGAGAAGGTCCTTATTTAGCTGGGAAGAACATCAGGAACTGGAGCTCCTAAAGGAGATTAACGAGAAAACAATTGCAAGAGGGAGACCAGATCAAAGGATATCGATTCACAGTAAAGATGGTAGTTATATAACCAAATCAGCATACCAGATACTTGCAGCAGAACATAGAAACAACCAGCAAGGGTTGGCTCTACGAAAAGTATGGAATCCACTTTTACCGAGTAAAATCTCAGCATTCTCTTGGCAATTGCTACAAGGTAAAATTCCAACCAAGGATAATCTGATGAAGAGGGGCGTGATTCAGGACCCAGGCGAGTGCAAATGTGAATTATGTGGTGCAGGGGAGGAGAATTCCAGCCACCTTTTTGTTTAGTGCAAAGTGGCACGTGATCTATGGTCAGCTTGCTACAAATGGTGGGGAATTAAAACAGTAACTGATAGAGATTGCTGGAGATTTTTTGAACAACATTCCAGTATGCTAGAAACAGTGGGGGTGAAGTAGGGATGGGAATGTATATGGTTTGTAGTGATATGGACAATTTGGTTGGCTAGGAATGAAAAATTGTTTAGGGAGAAGGAGGTGGATAGTGGAAGGTTATTTGAACTGGTCCAAATCAGGGCCTTTAGCTGGATTAAGGGCAAAAGGAGAGACTACTTTTTCTCCATAGCTGATTGGATCCAGAATCTTGTAAACTGTTTGAGCATTAATCGCAACAGTATAAGGTATCTCAAGAGAAAGCCATCTGAAATGGAGGTGGAGCTGTGAGTGAAGGAGGTGAAGGAGGTCAAGATCATGTAATCTGATTGGTTAATTATATTACTGCCTGGTTGAAAAATCACTGTTGGATCAAGAAGGCTTCTTTGAGCAATTTTTGACTGCAGATTATGTGCCTGAAGCAATAATGGTCTTTGGGATTCTAAGTGGTAGTCAAGGCATGCTCAGTGAAGGTACGTGATAGTGGGGCGATAGCTGGATTGGTTTTCATGATCAGTATAGTGATTGATATAGTTTTTGCATCAGAAGGTAGAAAGTTCGACACGGGTACAATGCCGACACACTGGATCTGGTGTCGACACTATATTGCATGCACAGAAATTTTTGATACGGACGTGGTGTTGGCACATATTTCAGGAGTCGACACCATATGGAAAGGTTGGAAATTGTATGGCTTTCAAATTGTCAAGTTGATGGGTTGGGGGTACCCCTTGTACTCTATTTAATAATAAATAAAATAATATTTTTTGTTGTTCAGAAAAAAAAAAATATTTGAGGTCCTACAATATTTAGAGGAAGAACTGCCAAATCCGTGGTTCATCAATGATATTTAGGCTTGCGGATGATTAATTTGGGAACTGCATTGGTATCATACCATCTGTCCCTTCATGTTGCTTCTTTCTATAGGTGAATATGATTTTTTAGCTATCTCCATAGCATTTATTTTCTTCCTCTTTTAAGATAAAATGAGAAGAGTTGATGCTCCAAAATCCATTCAATGTTATATGCATCAAACTAGAGCTTCTGAAGAAGATGCTCGTGAATATATAAAGGATTTGATAGGCAAAACTAATGTTTTTAAACCCGAATCGGAGGTCAAACCGTTTTGACCTCTGGTTCATGTTTTGAACTATTTAATCGGTTTAATTGGTAAAACTACCAAGTTGATCAATATAGTATAAATATATTATTATGAAAAGTATTTTACAAGGTGTTCGTTAGGTGCAGTCATGGGTGGCTGGTTAGTTATGAGAAAAATCACAAGCTTGAGTTCCCTTGAGAACAAACTTTAATATAATTGTAGTTTTAAAAATAGAATAAATATATTATAAAACAAAAAATTACAAATAGAAGCTTGTGTCTTAGGTGGAAGAGATTTTGTTTCATATATAGAAAATGAGTGTTCCAATCCCATGGTTGTCATTCATTATTTGGTTAAAAGCTTTGAGATTTCTATTACATAAATAAAATTCCAAGCGTCCATTTATGTAGGGATGGTATTGTCTTGGTGGCAAAGAATTGGAATAAAGGCTTTAAGGTTGCAAGTTCAAGCTTCATGGGAGACAAATTTCTTAAGCTTTTATTCTCAAGCATTGAACTATTCAATCGAACGGTTTCTCAGTTTGAGCTGTTCCAACGATTTTTATCGATTTTAAATGGTTTGACCATTCAAATGGTTTAAAAAATGCACCCGAATTGTTTATACTAGCAGGTATCGATTCAACTGGTTTGACCATCCGGTCCAATCCGATTTTCGAAACCATGGGCAAAACATGGAAGCAAATGAACAAATATCAATTTGACGCTTCTCCTCTCCCTCAAACATTAATTAAAGCTGCAGTGAACAATTTATGTACAAACATGGGGACAGCCATAGCTCTCAAGATGTAGCGAAGAATCGTATGTCATCATTACTCAGTCAATCCCATTGACTGGCCCTAAACATAAATGAAAGCAATCAAGATTGTTGGTGTTAAACTGGATTCTAAAGCAACTCTGTTTCATGTTTGAATAACCCTTCGTCAGTGGAGTTATGTTTCCTACATACGCTGGAAGGTTAATCATGTAACAAGTCCCTCAGTCCCTGGGTACTAGTTAATTGGAGTCTAGTTGTGTTTTCTGCCTATATTAATGGGCAATTGTTCTAATTTTGATGTATCAATTGCAAGTTAATTCACTGCTCTCAGAAATGATAGCATTTCACCTTCTCATTTGCATGTTTGTTTGTTCCATAAATTTCGTATTTCTTTTATATTCCTCTCCAGATCTCAACCATTTTGAAATACATTTACATTCTTCTTCAGATGTCTCCCTAGTAGATGACTAATTAAATGAAGATTAGTAGATCACAAATATTTTTCAGATGTCTTCTATTTGTCAGGTTAGAAAGTCGATCGGCCCAATGGAAGGCATAGCCCCCAAACTTTGTAACAAATTAATAAATGAGGTTTTAAATTTTTTGATTAAAGTCAATTCGGTCCTTTTATTTTTATCATTTTTATCTTTAAATTATTTTTTTATTATTATTTTTTAAAGATTCTTTTGAAATTGCTTTACCATAACGCTATTCAACATTGAACATTATAAAAAATGTTAATTTTAATTAAGATTTTATACTTTTTAATAATTATAGTGATTGCTAATACTTATAATGCTAAGCCTCATATTTATATTTAAATCATTTTATTTTTTGTAATTAATATTTTTTAAAATTTTTATTCCCAGGCGAAATTTAAAATTCATAAAAATTTCAAAAGTTAACCACCAAACACTCTTTTTATACTTTGACTTACACATAACTTAATTGTTAATTTAAATTTTATAAAAAAATTTAAATTATAAAAAGTGTTACAAAAATAAAAATTTTAAAAGATTTTAACTATAAAAAACAAAAATATTCTAAATACAAATAAAGGGTTTGTATTACTCGCAAAAGAGTCATTTCCCCCTTTCTAGTCTTCGTATTCGACAAAGAAGAAGTTTAATTTCCATCCTTTCCTCACTTCCGTTAAGTCATGCCCGCCTTCCTCAATTTTATTATGTTTTATGCTAATGTGGCACTATTTATGTTGACATGGCACTAGAGTGGCAAACTTGACTTACATGGCACCTGCATGGAAAATAATATATTTTTTATTGTTAAAAAATCTTCAGGTAGCAAAAATAAAAATTGCAAACCTTAAAGTATCATCTTACATGGCGCCTAAATGACACAATACTTTTTTTTTTCCGTTAAAAATTATTTTTGGCTAGATAAAAAAAGAACTTCTTCATATGTTAACTTGTATTGCCTATTTCTTTGAAAAATGTAAACATGAAACCAGATCATATGTTCATACTAGCCACTAAAAAGTGCTCTATAATATAATTTTCAACAAAACAAAATGTAATATCCATCTAATGGAAATTCTAAATAAGAAAAATAGTAGCCAATCTAAAATCATTTCCACTTTTTCCACTTTGTATAGTCAACTTATAGTAAACTAAGAAAAAAAAAGGTAAAATTTTTATATCAAAGAGATTAGTGAAAAGGTTCCAAAATGCTAAATTCATTTGCTAAACTCAATTCTTCTTCTGCCTTTTCTCCATCTAGCTTTTCTAGATCCATTGAAGCAACAATCCTATGCTTTCCCATGCCCTTTCTTATTACGAGTTTAGAGGCAGATGGCTTTATTGAAAAGGAGTTGGTGGGGACTTGTAATTGCACCAAACCAGAAGTCCTTCTTCAGTCCGCGCTTGCACTCCGGGAAGACCTGCAAAGCCCCGAGGTGGAACTCGGGGTAGACACCCCGATGCTTAAGTCAGCAATAATCGGGGCTACCTTTAGAGCGGAGATAAAAAGAGCTTAGGGTTGGTTTCAATTACCTTTCTGAGGTAGCCCCTAGGGGTATTTATAGGCCTTTCTAAGGTATCCACGTGGCTTGCTTAGCAAGACAATCGGAGCCTGACGTGTCTATTCAGACGATTATTTCGGGACCGGGAATTTGAGAGGTATTCAGATGCACGGATGTCCACCATACTTGTTGTGCCACTCGTCATAATGAATCAGGTGTGGGCATGCTTATTGTCATTGTCATGCAGCTATTTGAGCAGGGAGCTTTGGATTCATTTCTCACTTCGGTCATAAAGGAATTACTGTAGCAGTCCGAGGCTTGGCACCTTGGACCTGTCCTTACACTATTCCCCTCCGAAGTCATTCACTTGTGAATGATGTTGCTAGGGATAATGAGGGGAGTGCATGAACAAAGAAATTACGGATAAGTCATGGAAGTATAAGGAAGAAAGCTGTAATTTAAATTTAGACATAGCCGTAGCTAATAATGAAATACATAACAGTGGGTCATACTGGGGTGCCTTAAATGGAATATGACCGGAGCGATCACGGTTGTGGTCGTGTTGAAAATAATGACTGGAGTCATAATGTAAAAGATGATGACCGGAGTTATAATGGAGCCAAGGTCATGATAAAAAATGATAACTGGAGTTATAAAGGCCAAGGTCGTGATGGAAAATGATGACCGGAGTCATAATGGCCGGAGCCGTAACAAAATATGATGACTGGAGTCATAAGGGCCGGAGCTGAGGTAGAGTATGTGACATGTGGTCGCAGTAACCAGGACCGAAGTAGAACATGTCTCTATGGCCGGAGCCGAAGTAAAACACTTTGCCCGTCAAAAAGTGTAATTGTAAAAGTAAGCAGAAGTGCTGAGCTGGGCTTAAAATATGATGACCAGAGTCATAATGGCCGGAGCTGTAATAAAATATAATGACCGTAGTCATAATGGCCGTAGTCGAAATAAAATGTGTGATACTGGGTCACTGTGACCGAAGCCGATGTGAAATATAATGCATGATTATTGTGGTCGAAACCGAGGTGAAACACTTGCAAAATTGAGAATGTATAAAAGTGAACAAAGGTGTTGAAATGGGCGTAAATGGGCCCATGTAAAAATACTGACATAGGTGTGACAGTTGTCCTTGGAATGACGTGTGCAATAAATGTGGCCGTAAAAAGATAACTGCAACAGTTAAACGGGCAAAAATCAAAAAACGAACCGTCAAATTCAAAACGGTACCGTTTGGGGTTGACCGTCGAATTCTGAACGGTGCGAATAGGAACCGTAAGATTAAATGAATCTTAGCCGTTGAGATTTAATTTTGCCCAGAAGTATAAATAAACATTTTTTCTACAGAGGGAGGTTTACTTGCATTCCTTTCTCTGCAAAACTTCTGCGAAGAGCTTTATTGTGCGTTTCCTGTGCGTAAACTGCGGTAACAACTGGGGATCTCTACATCAAATCTTTTGAAACCGAAATCAGGTAATGTATGACGAACCTCTGATTTTGAGTTAATCGAAGTGTCACTTCTCCTTTCTCCCTTTCTGTGATTGATTTAGAGTCCTTTGAAGGAAGTTAGGGTTAGAGG